TGTGTTGTGTTGTATTTAATATTATTATAATTTTTTTTTTTTTAATGTTTATGTATTATTTTTCTAGCATATATCACAATTTTTTTTGTAACAGGCTATAAAAAGCGCAGTCCTTACATAGTATAAATTGAAATAATTGTAATAAATTGAATTGTAATAAATTGTTTTCCTGGTGTTGATAATTAATATATATTTTTTTGTGTTTAAGCACCAGACATTTCAGTGGCCATTTGCTGTAAAAGAAAACAAAATACTTATTTTTTAATAGTTTCTGTCTCTGTTTGTGTACCGTCAAAGTATTAAGCCTATTTATTATTTACTATAGTAATTATTTCTGTGGTTATATTATGCATGCAATTCTATCACTGCCTATATTTCCCACCTCAATCTCATTAATTCAATTCTGTTTTTAACAGTTTATGAAATAATCTGAAAGACAAACAAAAACATGTAATATTTAATGTTTTCTTACATTTAAGTAGTGGCCATTTGTTGTATTAATATTTAAAAAGCCTTCATTTTTATTAGATTCTGTCTCTGTTTGTGTACCCTGTACCAAATCTGTTTTATCTCCATCTTTGTCTTTTCTACTTAACTTTGTGCTGTGTTTGTCTGGTCTAAAGTATGTTTCCAAAAGGACAAAGTTTGGGTTTCTTTGAGTCTTTAGAATAGTAAACAATGCTCTAGAGGATGACAAGTATGAAAGCATATCTGGGGGATCAATTCGCCCTCATTAATGATCCCATTTCTGCTTCCACGCTTGTCAGGCCTTTTGAAGCCTGTTGTCTCTCTGGCCAAACACTGAACAAAGCCGCAAGCTCTATCCACGGTCATAGAAATAAGAAGCAACTTCTGTTTCTCACTCTCTCTCATACACCCAAACACACTCTCGCTAATTAAAGCTGTCAGGAGTACTGATAAAAGTACATCACGCAGAGATGTCCCAATGTTTTAACAACAACAGCCATTAACTGCTCCATGCTTCCTGAAATATTAGTGATAAAAGAGAAGCGAGACGCATGAGGAGGATAATCATAATTTACCAGAACAAAGGAAGCGAACTCACGGGGTACAACGCGACACGTTCTTGATGTGAGCGTCTGCGAAAATGACGACCTTCACACGTTTGATCACATTGTGGAAAATGCAGAATGTTGCTGCATCACAGCAGTATTAATCACAATCGCTGATTGGTGTTTTTTACAAGGGCTTTCTGGAATGCATTCAATTCCGCTAAATCCTGTAAAGTGTACCTTAATTGTTGCCCAACACATATTCTGGGGTGTTTAAAATTAATTGCTCAGATTAATATGATTTATTTATGTGCATGAGGTCTGTAGCTGTGCAAGAATTCAAGTATTCAGTGCAATGGGTAAGTTACTGAGTGGAGTGGCTGAAGAGATAGTTCAACACAAATGGTAATATTATCTTTATTTTCTCATGTCATCCCAAACCTATATGATTTTTTTGCTTTCACAGAAAACAAAAGGAGATGCATTATGCCAGGATTGACATCAGAGACACTAAATGTCACTGGCTATTGCATATTTCACAAACAAATATGAATATATGCAAAAGGGTTTGGAATGACATCAGGTGAAAAATACTACTGTGTGCCATTCCAGTTGGACTTGAGAATGACTTTTAAATTACAATTATTTTATTGTATTTGAATGGCATTTGAATCGAGGACAGATATATAAAATACATTTACTTAAATAATATATTTAGATATGTTTAATAAAAATAAATTTTATTTAATATAAATATTTAATTACATTTCTGTATTTGCATGGAGTTTGAATTGAAGATGAGAGATGTCTAGTCTACTTTTGTCTAGTTAAATTCCCTAGGCATGGAGTTGTAAGTTTACTATACTACAGGCTAATGAAATGTACACTGCCTAATCCTTTTTTTTTCTTTCTAATGGGAAATACATCAGGCTCTGCCTGTAAACAAACCACAATGAATCATATACTGAACACAACAGCCAAAAATGTCTTGATAACACTGACAAATCTGACATGCTGAATGACAAAACACTGCTGAAAATATACTATAACAAAGATGGCATTACACATTACACAAAGAGGTTCCACATTTTCTCACAGCTTCTGCAGGCTTACGTAATATTGATTCGGCTGTCACACTGTTGATGCAAGGACATGACTTGAGCAGAAAGACACTGATTACCCATGACAACTTCTGATTATCTAAGGGATCTTTTCCTGTTTTGAGTAGTGCTCTAATTCACTCTCTCATATCTAAAAGTCATATTAATAGAGTTTGCTAAATCTGTTCCCACATACTGACATTGATACTTTCTATACAGTAGTCATTTCTACATAGTCTAAAATTGTAAAATATGAATTGCCACTTTTCAGTTATTCCAGTGTTTTTATAGTAGCCATAGAACATCTAATAAAGAAACAAGATCTTTTTATGTGGGTGAACCTTAACAGTCTAAAATATACCTTGAACGCACTACTACAGACTTAAAACTCCAGACAAGAGTCATAATTTGTGAATAAACATTTATTGGTTTCTAATTCTACCTGGCAACTGAAGTGCCGCATAAATAATTATCTCTGCCTACTGGCTCTGACATTTCTGCCTGTTGCCAGCAGGTCCCAGTTACGTTGTTTTGACTTTTTTGAAAGCAGAATCTCATCCAGCGGGACTGCTGTCCCGTACGTCGCTGGAGGCTCAGCTGTGAAACTGCATCTTGTGTGTTTACTCTGTGCATGCTTGAAAGTCTCTGATACAGTCTGACAACAACACGGCTTTCCCTGCACGCAAGGGGAAATGTTTGCTTCCATTCGCCTGACATACAAATGTGTACCATACGCATGCCTGTGCTGATTGTGTGCCTTCCGAATCAACCTCCACAACCTCAGTTTCAACCTCCACTGATTAACCCTTAAATGCATACCTCGGGTCTTTAGCGACCCGGGACATCATTCTCTACCCTCTCCCTCCTTCATTTTTTTAAGTTAGACATCAACTTTCTTAGTATTCCTCAATCTATTAATTGTAAACAATATAACAAGAAAGAAATAGTAAAATATAAAAGAATGCCAGTTTTCTGATTATTTTTTTGTAAAAAGTGTATAGGGTCGCTAGAGACCCGAGGTATGTAAATGTGTAAGTATTTTTTCCTGCGCAACTATATTTACATGTCTGATGACTCAATATGTGCAATGCATATTTTTTCCTCAAGGCACTGTTTTATACACAATGATGACGTCACGTTTCACTCATAATTACGGCAGGCATAAAACAAACAAATATCATCAGCAAAAATTTAACTGATTTGAATGGCTTTACTGCAGAGCAATTACTATACGCAATGAAATATAAATACTACTGTCATTTGATGCTGGATGTGGTGAATAAGCTGCCAGTGATCAAAATATTGAATATGAAGTCATTGAAAACGATAGTTTTGAGAATATGGTTGAGATCGTGAATGTGAGGCAGATGCTGAATGTATCAGAATGTATCAAATTTCACTAAAATTTGATGGCCTCCAGTATATTTTGCTGTATGAATATTTGAATATGCTCTACTTTTATACAAAAAAATCAGTTTTATTCTAGCTTAAAGCATTCTTTTTTTATCAACACTTGAATATAGGTAGGTTTCATAGTTAGGTTTCTGGATAATATTCAGTACGATTATCAAAGCATACATCCAGTAAATCGCTTCATTCAGTAAATCGGATGCACAAATACACTATAATTTTAAAAATAATACTGTTTTTGTGTCACGGAATGTAGTTTTAAGAGTTTTTTTATTTTTTTTTTAGGGAACAATGTATTTGTTTAGACTTAAAATATGCGGTTTGTTAATAAAGCTAATGTCTATTTGAACATTTTCTTCGTTTTCAGAGATGTGAGCTCCAGGGCATCAGTGGCCGTTCAGCACTCATGAACTGAGAGCAGCCTCACCTCGGCCAGATCTTCTGGAATTTGCCGCTGGCTCTAATGTCTCTATGGTGGTTAAACAAGAGATACAATCTATAATTTGTTTTGGGTAAATCTAATGGGCAGTCTTTGGTCTATTTAATCTATTATTTGTTCCAGAGCAAATAGTTCTGGCTGAGGGCGAAATCTCATCATGTTACATTTTATGTAACTTCAATTCTGTACATCAGAGTGCTGCCTTTGTACTTTTGACTGAATTGACTAGCACATTCTATGATGGCTGTTGTTGTTGTTTATTAAATATGATTTAATAATAATTTATTCAATACATAATATTTTATATAAATAGTAGCAGTATTTAGTATTGGGAAACAGAGTGTGTGTGTTCGTGATGGTGATTTTACAGTAGTTATATTGTTACACCATTAGATGGCACAAGAGACTGTTTTTATGAGTCAGCAGTAAATACTTTTATATTGAAAGAGACTAAAACAGGGTTGTGAGCAAGGAAATAATTTTTACTTTCAACAACACCTTGTAAGACGCAGCAAACAAATGCAGTGAGCAGTACTGTCTTTGGAAAGCACCCTTAACAGATGAAAGGATAGTAAGACAAAGATATCGCTTTCCTCAATGAACATTCAAACTAATGTTTTATTGTGAATATGAGATTGAGCTGAAGAATGAATGCTGTATCAGATGCAGTAATCACACTCTCTCAGTCCATCTCTATCTCAATAATACTCTATTCCACATGGGGGAACTATGACGTCAGAACCCAGAAGTGTAATTCGCCATGGATTCCTTCAAAGTTTTCCTACAGGGTTTTATAAAGGGGTTCCCTATCAAACGGTCTCTCCCATTGCGTTTAACGCAGTATGGGGAAACTTCTGTTTACTCTGTTACTGAAGCCTTATTTGTTGACGTTTGTGTAGCTGCACAAACCAAAGGTGCTTTACCCTGCCAGAAGGGGTGGCCATTTAATCAGAATCTTCTCCTTCAGCGACGAGGATAATTTATTTGCTGACTCTGCAAACAAGAAGCCGAAGAAGAAGGGAGAAGCTCAGGCTGCTGCTCGCCGCCGTAGAAAGAGCCCCGGCAGAGGAAGAAGCCAGAAGCCTTCCCCTGCTGCCATCCGGCACAATAAAAGAGCAAATTTCTGAGTAGATTTCCTAGCGACGTAAATGTCGCTCTGCGAGTGTGGCTCATGCAGGGAATCCCTGCACAATGCAGAAGGGCGCAGTGAGAGTGTTGCCTGTCTGGGCAGCACCCACGCAGAGGCTACACACTCACTGAGATGGAATGCTCTCACATAGAGCATGAGTCTCGCTCTTCTCCGCTCGCGAATCGCCTTCTTCAATGAAAGCAGCCCCGCTCTCGTTTTTCCTCTCTCAGCGAGCTCTGAGAAAGAAACGGTGGAATCGCAGAGCCAGCGCAGGTCCTGTGTGCATCACTCTCCCCGCTGCACTTTGATCTGCCGGTGTGTTTTACCAGTAAGGATCAGCGCCCCTCGTACATTTAGCAGCTCAATCCTTCTAGGCGGATCAAAGTAGAATGCTGTCATCAATGATTCTGTATCGCTGACAGCTTCACATTTGTGTGTGCTCCGCTGATGCTGCGCTCTCTGAGACAGGCTGCTTTCACTGCGAAAGCATGAGTCTGCTTTGTTCGTGGATCTCCTTCTTCAATGAAGGCGACCCCACCCCTCCAGCTCTCACGTTTCTCCCCTCCCAGCTGCCTCGGAGGAAGAAACGGCGAACTGAAGGGTTAAGCGATCAGGCTTGTGTGATTTCACACTAGCACAGGTCCCACATGCTTCATTCTCCCCACAGCACTTTGATCTGCCAGTATTTTTTACACTAAATGATCAGCGCCCCTCGAATGCATCAAGCGGTGGGATCTTTTTAGGTGGATCAGAGGAGAATGCTGTCACCAATGATTTCATATCGCTGACAGCTTCAAATTTGAGAGTGCCGCTAGCCTGGGCCATGCCCACGCTGAGGCTGCGCTCACTGAGACAGACCGCTCTCACTACGAGAGCATGTGTCTCGATCTGCTTCGCTCACGCTTCGCCTTCTTCAATGAAGGCGGCCCCACCCCTACCCCTCTCACATTCTCCCCTCCCAGTTACCTCGGAAGATGAAATGGTGAAGTCGCAGGGCTGAGCAACATGGCTTTAGTGATCACACGCCGGCACAGGTCCCGCATGCTTCACTCTCCCCGTAGTGCTTTGATCCGCCAGTGTGTGTCATCTGCAACGAGCGGTTTTATCCTTTTAGGTGGATCTAAAGAGAATTTGCAGCACTTTGATCTGCAGAGTTGTTTACACGTGAGAATCATCAGCACCCCTCATCTAATGAGCGGTCTGATCTTATTAGGTGGATTGAAAGAGAATGCTGTCACTGACAACTTCAGATTTAGATGCTTCTGGGTCATGCCCACACTGAGGTTGCGCTCACGGGGGCTGGCTGCTTGCACTGCAAGAGTATTGAGTCTAGCAAAGCATTTTTGAGAGGAAAAGGAAAGGATTGGTTCTTGCTGAGGCTGGAACTCCCTTGAAGAAAACTTGCGCTCGCTCTCCATCCATCCGTTCAACACTGATTGATGGACGTTCTATTCAAGCTGGGCACGTCCTTCTCATTCAGTACGCGCCCAAGCAAACTACCGCTGTGATAGCGGACCCACAAGAACAATTCCCCTTTCCTCATTACCACAAAAGTCAGTTCCCCACCCCATGGCAACGAACTACCATTCGTAAAATAGAACCACTTGCCATCCGGCTCTGGGCTGAGAACCCATCCCGGATGTTTCAAACTGGGTTCTAAACACTATAATACGAGGTAACTCACTCCAGTTCGCTCGCAGGCCACCTCGTTCAGAGGCATTATTCAGACTTCGGTATGGGACAACGAAGTGCGTGTTCTTTGGTCGGAAGTACAAACACTGCTTGCAAAAGGTGCCATGGACGGTACCTCTAGCAAAAATATAGAGTCAGGCTTTTTCAGCCGCTACTTCCTCGTTCCCAAGAAGATGGCGGGCTCAGACAAATTCTCAATCTCAGGCATCTGAATCGCTCACTTATGAGATGGCTGTTCAAGATGTTAACTCTAAAACAGATCCTCACACAAATATGCCCTGAGGACTGGTTTTTGATGGTGGATCTGAAAGACCCTTACTTTCACATCCACACAGCCCCTCTCACAGACCATTCTTGACATTCGCATTCGAGGAAGTGGCCTATCAATAGGGCTGCACGATAAATCGCATGCGATATTAAACGTGCCTCTTGTCAGAAAGCCGGTTCTGTAATCAGCGGTAAATCTCCATCACCTGCGTGCTTTCACATTGAGCAGCATTAACTCCGCTGATTACAGAACCGGCTTTACTGATAAGATGCGCGTTAAATATCGCATGCGATTTATCGTGCAGCCCTACCTATCAATATACAATCCTTCCATTTGGACTGTCTCTGGCCCCACACAATTTTAGGAAGTGCATAGGCGTGGCTCTTTCCCCTCTCTGACAGATGGGAATCCGAATTTTTAACTACCTCGATGATTGGCTGCTTATAGCCAGATCAGAACGGGAACTGGTCGCTCATAAGACGCTGCTGCAGCCATCTGGATCACCTTGGGTTGAGAATCAACCTAGCCAAGAGTCATTTGTCAACCAGACAGCTGGCAGTCTTTCTGGGGACGATTATAGAGTCTGCCCAGATGTGGGCTTCGATTACGCCAGAACGGTCCCTGACTATTCAGCGACTGGCGAAATCTTTCAAACCAGGGACTTTACGTCCCCTTAGGGCTTTTCAGAGGATGCTTGGCCTCATAGATTCCACCACTCTTTTTTTGTCAGATGCCCTGTTCACTAAGCGGATACACAAGTCAACCAGCTGGTTGACTTGCCCAGTTAGGGTAATTCTCGGCATTAACTCATTTGTGCACCTAAAGCTGAAGTTTTCATATAAAAACATTAAAGAGAGTATAATGTGTTAACAACATCCATGAATTTATTTAACAATAATGTTTTTATTATAACAAACAAAAAAATACATTGTATAAAGTGCAAAGGTCAAAGAAATTTAATAGAAATTCAATAAAATTTTGTAAATAAATACATTAAAATAAATATTAATAGTAAATACAAACATAATAAATAATTATTATATTATATTATACATAATCAACACAATAAATAATACATTTAGTGATAATCTGTGTAAAATGTATGATAAAAGGCAACTAGCCAATGTAATATAAGGTTGCGTTCACACATGTAGTTCAGTTATCTTGGTTCGTTTGGTCTGGACCAAAAAAAGAAAACAATACATTAGGTCCTGGTCCGCTTAGCGTTCACACTGGCAATTTTGACAGCAAATCTAAAGATACCGAACCTAAAGCCATAGTGATACGTTCACAACCTGATTGGTCGGGTTTAATAACATATATTTTGTGACGGAACTCTCCGAACACCCCAAACAAAAGCTGTGTTCGACTTAAAGCGGCGCTGCAGACCGATCGGTGTATGACATCATCGGTGTATGACATCAAACCCATTCACTGATCGGATACCACTCATTCCGCATCGTCAAATCATAGTCTCGCATCTTCCGTGTTGAGTTCATATTTCATTCGAACCACACCAGAGTTCGTTTGGAAGCGGACCAAGACCCATCTTTTTAGCGGTCTCGGTCCGCTTGTTTGGTGCGCACCAGGGTTCGGATGGCAGCGTTCACACGTACTCAAATGAACCGCACTAACAGAGCAATCGCACCAGAGTTCCTTAAATCGAACCAAACATGACAAGTGTGAACACACCCTAAAAGAAAAAATTATTGATATGGTGTATAGATATGATATGTAATATGTAACAATGCACTGTTTTTTGTTGTTCAAACAATGGAACCACTTCTCATCCTTAGCTAACTCTGGAGATAGATTATAATAAAAATATTAAAACGCATCTAATGTAAAAAATAATAAATTAGAATAAAATATCAAACACACACTGTATGGGCAGAAGTGTTGGGACGCCTGACCATTGCACCAACAGGAACTTTAATGACATTGCATTCTAAATACATAGACATTAACACTGAGTTGGTCCCCCCTTTTCATCTATAACCGCTTTTACTCATCTCGAATGGCTAAGGCCCTGTTGGTGTAATGGTCAGGTGTCCCAATGCTTTTGTCAATACATTCACCTCTGGTGATATGCAGCAAAGCACTGTTTTTTGTTGTTCAAACAAAGGAACAACTTCCCATCTCCACATTTGGAACATTGCCAACGCGACACATTTGCACAAATTGCACCTCCCTCGCTGAGTGCCAAATATGGGCCAGTGTCTAATGCCATTATTGTGGACCTCCAGGCTGGGATTGAGAACTCGGGGTTAGGGACTTGTGGCTTGTGCTTTCCATTTGGGGGCCAGCCAACCCTGGCTGGTGCGTTGTTGGCTCCCTTCAATGTGACTGCCACTGACAAACAAAACTTCTTCAAGGGCATTGGTTTCTCTTTGAGAAGGTTGCAGTCCCACTTGTAGATAAGCCATGCATTCACAATCCTCAATATGTCAATGATGTACCCAAACAAAGGGAGGTACCAGTGCCGTGCCTTCATTGGCGTTTTCTAGAGGTGCACAAGCACATCAGAGAGACCAATGCCTCCCATGGCTTGATTGTATGCCAGGACGATGGATGGGCAGGGGACATCAACCTTCTGTTGTGCCTCCTTTTTGTATCTTTTCACTAAAGATAGCGGCTCCACCCCACATGCGTTGCTCAGCAGGGTGACACACTTGTTGTCAAACCACTTCACTGCAACGACTCCCTCTGATGAACAGAAATCAACAACACCTCGGCCTCGCTTCACCATCTTCTTGTCTCTCATCAATTTTGCACCAAGTGAAAGACATGGAAATTAGTTTTTTTTGTGTGTGTGAGTATATATTCTAACAACACTAATACAGTTTTATATTAACCCTTAAATGCATACCTCGGGTCTTTAGCGACCCGGGACATCATTCTCTACCCTCTCCCTCCTTCATTTTTTAAAGTTAGACATCAACTTTCTTAGTATTCCTCAATCTATTAATTATAAACAATATAACAAGAAAAAAAAAGTAAAATATAAAAGACTGCCTGTTTTCTGATTATTTTTTTTGTAAAAAGTGTATAGGGTCGCTAGAGACCCGAGGTATGTAAATGTGTAAGTATTTTTTTTTCCTGCGCAACTATATTTACATATCTGATTAATCAATCTGTGCAATGCATCTTTTTCCTCAAGGTGGCACTGTTTGATACACAATGATGACGTGATGTTTCACTCATTATTACCGCAGGCATAAAACAAACAAATATCATCAGCAAAAATGTAACTGGTTTGAATGGCTTTACTGCAGAGCAATTACTATACGCAATGAAATATAAATGTCACTGCCATTTGATGCTGGATGTGGTGAATAAGCTGCAAGTGATCAAAATATTGAATAAGAAGACATTGAAAACGATAGTTTTGAGAATATGGTTGAGATTGTGAATATGAGTCAGATGCTGGATGTACTGTGGTTGTGCGCTCTGACGATGACAGCGATAGTAAAATCATCTGCTCAAATTGAACCCTTTTAAGTTTCAAAAGATAACAAAATATGCTTTATTTTATTCTTCGGTAATTGTTCATAAAATATCAAGAGAGTTTTTTGCTATTGCAGCAGTTAGAGATCCAACCGTGCTGGATATATTGGTTATATATGGATATATATATTTAAGGGTTAAAAACACAAGATTGTGTACAGTATATCTGCATCAGAAGAGAAAAAATGTGTGCAAGCTTGCATGCATGGTGTGTTTATGTGTGTGGGTGTGGTTGTATAATTAACAATTAACATGATTTACGTCACTGAATGTACATTATGTACATTAATGTTTTGCCCTGATGGTACTCACACTTCTCAGTCCGAGGTTGGTGTGCAGTTTCTTCACCAAGTCGAAGCTGGTAAAGAAGTTGTCATAAAACACCACAGTTGCCTCTTTGTGTGTGATAGTGTTGCAGAGTTTTGATACAACTTTGCCACCTAGAGGGTGGTCTTCCAAGCCCAGATGGGCATGCTCTTCCTCTTGAATGTTGAAGAATGTTGTGGCCCCTTGGTAAAGGATGAAGTCGTGGATTATGCTAATAGAGCTGACCTGACAGAAGATCTTAAACCCCCACTTATCTGGCTTGTTTTGAATATACTGCCAGAGTTTGCCAGCTATGGTGCCCTTGTAGGCCACCATCACTTCATCAACACTCTGCATGTTGGTGGGGGGAATGAGAAGGCATTGTTCTCTCAGCATGTCAAAAAGAGGGCAAATCTTATGGACGCATTCAGTGCAGCCTTCCATCTGGAAGTTGTCGTTGAAGTGGACATTTCGTTGTAGCACTTTAAAACACTTCACTGACATGGTATCAGCCACTGGTGGGAATCGTGACTCACAGGCCCAGTAATCTTATAAAGAGGGAAATTCAAAAACTCACATGTACAGTAAAACTGACAAAAAATCTTCCATTTCAGCAACTGTGGTGTTGACGGAAGTCCCGGTCTGTTGAACTGAGTACTGGTTGGTATGCTCAGATATGTGCTCAATCATCTGGTCAGTGAAGAGCCTCTTCCAATACATAAATGGTGTCTGGACTGACTCTGGAAACATGAAGACGAAAGGTAGAATGTCCTTCTTGACCCATGTGGTCTTTCTCGTCTTCCTGGACTTTGCAGGATAGGAGGGAGTTTGACAGAGGTCTGTAGAGACTTAAACAAGCTTGTTCCTATTTCTCTGTTGCTTTGGAGGGGGCGTCAAATATTCGCTGGTTGGAAGGACATGATCATAATTTTCATCGTCTGGATCACAGATCTTCAACTTCAGAATCACATGTATCAGCAGGTAAAAGTGAAATAGTGCTGTAGACTGTAGATGTAGGTCTGGGGTGTCCAGAAAATGTTTGACAGTCCATTATGCCTGAAAGAGATGGCACATAATAAGCATTACAGTACACAAAAATGACAAACTGTGTATTGATTAATCAGTGCCTCAGGTACAGCTATCCATGAAAAATTAATTATCATACTGATAAACTGTTCTCCCAACATAGACACATTGAGATTTAATATAAATTGATAATAAAAATGGCATATACTAATAAATATATTGTGTACTGTGTATGACACATTGAATAACACACAACTATGAAATTAGATAACAAGAGACATAAAATATTCAGGTGTGAATGATGAGGTAATTTTACTGTGCTAAATAAAATATGGACAAATATGTCCATCCATCCTTTAAATTGCAAACTCATAAACATGTTATGTTGTGTCAGATTATTGAACAGAAAATGTAATGTTTATAGATAACTACCCATCTAGACAGCTATAGCTATTTGATGTTATTCCAAAAAGGCTAGGATACAATGGCTATTGTAGAAATAATAAGTAGGACTACTAGCTCATATCAAATTATGTAAGGATTAAACTGATTTAAAGACATGACAATCTGAAGGTAAAACCAAATACTGTGTAACTAAGGGTAAAATACATACAATTCAGTGTAGCAAGGAAACTGGCCGTATGCTAGCGTCAATTCATTTTACCCTAACTGGGCAACTCGACCGAGCGGTCAAGCTCATTTTCTGAGGGAACACAGAGATACATTTTATAACCATGTTTCTGCCATTCAACAAAATATAGTGTTAGGAGGTCTAGAACATGAAATCAGATGTATAAAAATCTTACCTAAACTTTCAGCATCACTAGCGGCAAGGGTTTGAAGAGAGCGCCACGTCAATACACTTCCGGTTTTGTTTCGGCTCCTCAGCAACAAATATACTCTTGCAGCATAGCCACCCAATGGATACAATTGAAATTACACCCTCTATTCAATGAGGGGTATAAAGACAAACAGCCAAAACTGCTGTTTGGCGAGTTTTAATTACAGCAATTTGATGGCGAAAAAAGGTCAACCATGCAGTTACAATGCACGTTAAAGTGTTAAAGGGGCACCACGTCCTGGTCCGGCGGACAACATGGCGTTGGTAGCATAGATCTATAACCAAGGAGGTCTCAGGTCACATTCCCTTTACAGGATGGCTCAGCACCTCCTATTTTGGGCACAGAGCAAACTCCTCTCACTAAGAGTGGTTTATGTGCCGGGCATTCTGAACCTTGGAGCGAACATGCTGTTCTGAGGCAATGTGGCTCTGGGAGAATGGACCCTACAACATCAGATGGTTCACGAAATTTGGTCTGCCTTCGGGAGGGCAGAGGTCGACCTCTTTGCCTCAGAAGACAACTTTCACTGCCCAACTTATTTCTCAGTGCAGCGAGATGCCCTGGCCCATGACTGGCCCAGCCCTTGCTTATATGCCTTCCCCCCCAATCGCCCTGCTTCCTCAGATCATCAGATGGGTCAGGGAAGCTCTGGAGGAACCAGGCATGGTTCCCTGAGTTAGTGCAACTGTCAGCAGCATCCCCATGGCCGATACCATTGAGGAAGGTCCTTCTCTCACAGGCAAAGGACATGATTTGGCACCCCTGGCCAGAGCTATGGAGCATCCATGAATGGAGCCTCGACAGAAGCCTGTACAGCTCCCAGTGAGAGTGAGCAACACCATTTTAGAGGCTAGATCACCTTCTACAAGACACCTTTACACCCTTAAATTGTCAGTATTTCATTACTGGTGTTCTGCACGAAGCATAGATCTGTGTTGTGTCCCATGTGCTAACTTATTGCTGGACAATGGGCACACCCCTTCCACACTCAAAGTTTATGTGGCAGCAATCGCAGCAAATCATTCCCTCAAAGCTGCCCAATCGATCGACAGAAGTGATCTGATCGTTAAGTTCTTGAAGAGTGCCCGGGGATTGAATCCTCCTCGTCCTCAGACTGTGCTGACCTGGGACTTGTTAATAGTCCTAAGGCCCCTACGGGGCCCTCCCTTTGAGCCACTCCATTCAGCTGAGCTGTGGCCCATATCACTTAAGACCACTCTCCTATTTGCATATAGCGTTGGTCAAGCGAGTGGGTGACTTGCAGGCACTGTCAGTCAGTGCTTCCTGTCTTGAGTTTGCTAATGACAGTAAAGTCATCCTTAAGCCAAGACATTGTTATATACTGAAGGTGTTCTCAACTCCTTTCAGAGACCTCGTTATCACACTCCTGCCACTCCCCGCTGCAGATAGTGAGCAGGGTCCTAATCCACTCTGCCCAGTGAGGGCTCTTAGAGTGTACTTCAAGCGATCTAGTCTGTTTAGACAATCAGAGCAGCTCTTTGGCTACGTTCACACTGTCAGTTTTTGGGATTGACAACTGCATTTACTTACAGATGTGAGTCTCGAAATGTCCCATTCACACAGCAACTTACAGTAGCTTCTCGAATACTGTCTGTATGAACGTGCAACGAGAGTCAAGCCCGTATTCCTAACCAGTAACCATAGCAACAGTGACCAAAGTAAAATCAAAGATGGCGACGTCCATAAAACTGAAAGTCATATCACTTTCTGACACGACAAGTGTCCAATCGAGCTGCAAGTTCATCCGTCAAATCTTCAATAACTGACAGCAGCTTTTATATTGGGGTGGAGAGCGGAGCATTTGAGTCGTGTGCAAAAACACAAACTGACAGGAGCGGCTCCGGTGGAGACTAGGGCTGGGCGATATGACGATATTATCGTATATTGACGATGTCTTACAAGTATCGCGATGTCGATAAATAAGTCAGTTACAGACGATAATTGCCAATATAGAGAAAAAAATTACAATTATAGTTAACATAGTCCCATAGTTACCATGCACATATTTATTCACATGAAATAGCATGAATGAAATATTTTGTAGCCTATGCTAGTAGCTAATTAATAGGGAATAAAAAATCTATTCTGGAATCACTTAATTTACTTAAGGCCGGGAATCGAATAGGCCTACTCTTTATAAAAACATTTTTTTTTTTTGCTTATTAATAATGTTATTTTATTTTTAATTCTTCAAGCGCGAGGTGAAGCATACACTTCTGTAGCTACCGCACGCTGTTTTCCGAACTGCGCACAAATTACATTTACATTTACATTTAGTCATTTAGCAGACACTTTTTGTTGTTTTTTTCAATTATATAATAAATAAAAAAAATAAATGATAGAATAGATGTCAAGTCAAGTCAAGTCACCTTTATTTATATAGCGCTTTTAACAATACAGATTGTGTCAAAGCAACTGAACAGCATTAATAATGCAAAAATGACAATAGCAAACACTAATTTTTCAGTTAAAGGCAGTTCATCATTGAATTCAGTGATGTCATCATCCAGCTCAGTTCAGTTTAAGTAGTATCTTTGCAATCATTTGCAATCAAGTCAACGATATCGCTGGAAATGAAGTGTCCCCAACTAAGCAAGCCAGAGGCGACAGCGGCAAGGAACCAAAACTCATTCGGTGACAGAATGGAGAAAAAAACTTGGGAGAAACCAGGCTCAGTCGGAGGGCCAGTGGTCTGCCCCAAAAACTCATCCAATTATCTATGAAACCTATGTTATTCTGCGGACACCACTTAGACATCCAGCCATTGAGTGACAACAGTCTGCTATGTATCTCGTCACCACGGTAAGCAGGGAGGGGACCAGAGCATAGAAAAAGAATAGAGCAAGCTTTTTTTAAGAAAAGAAGCAATTAGTAAATGAATAGAGTGCAATACTAAAAGGGGCAAGTTTTTTTTTTTTTTTAAAGAATATAATTAGAATAGAGAGTGCTAGAGTTAGAGGGTCAAATAAAGCTGGAAGAAATGGGTTTTTAGCCGATTCTTGAAGATGGCTAAGGACTCAGCTGCTCGGATTAAGTTGGGTAGGTCATTCCACCAGGAGGGAACATTTAATTTAAAAGTCCCTGAAAGTGATTTTGTGCCTCTTTGGGATGGCACAATAAAGCGATGTTCACTTGCAGGACGCAAGCTTCTAGTGGGTACATAAGTCTGAAGTAATTAATTTAGGTAACGGGGTGCAGAGCCAGTGGTGGTTTTGTAGGCAAACATTAATGCCTTGAATTTTATGCAAGCAGCTAATGGTAGCCAGTGCAAATTGATAACCAGAGGTGTGACATGCATTCTGTTCGGCTCATTAAAAATTAATATTGCTGCCGCATTCTGGATTAATTGTAAAGGTTTGATAGAACTGGTTGGAAGACCTGCCAAGAGAGCATTGCAATAGTCCAGCCTGGACAGAAAAAGAGCTTGAACAAGGAGTTGTGAAGCATGTTCCGAAAGAAAGGGCCTGATCTTCTTGATGTTGAATAAAGCAAATCTGCAGGACCGGGCAGTTTTAGCAATGCGGTCTGAAAGATTTCTGGCTGTTTTTGAAGGAGTTATGGTTGATGTGCCTAACTGGATGGTGAAATTGTGATGAAACGATGGGTTTGATGGAACCACAAGCAGTTCTGTCTTGGCACGGTTGAGTTGAAGGTGATGATAGCCAAACAGCTCAAACGTTCTTATCTAGTTACTTATTAAAAACATAAGTTTTCAAAAATAAACATAACTGCTACAAAATTTGTGTTTTGGGTATGGATGTGAGTAATTTACATTGTAGATCAAAACACCAAAGTATCATCAAGTTATGTTTACCACAGGCTTTATTTTACACATAAATTGAAAAACCCCATTATAAAACCCCATAGGAAAATCTCGAAAGGAACCCGAGGCGAATTACTCTTCCGGATTCTGACGTCATAGTTCCCCTACTCTATACGCTGCTTTTAATACAGTAATACAATAAACGTTTAATGAAGCAACTCAATGTTCTGTCGTTACTAGTTCTAAAGTGACGTTTTCGAGTTAGTAACGGAGGCTTAGGCTCAGCAGTTAAACTGTCAAACTGAGATTTGAATCTGTGGTGTAAGTAGTTCTGCACAAAAGATGGTTTTTAAAGACACTCCGTTGTTGTTTCTTATTCATTTACACACTCGCCCCCCCCCCCCTCTTTCTCTTCTCTCTCTCTCTATATATATATACACTACCGGTCAAACGTTTGGGATCAGTAAGACTTGTAATGTTTTTTAAAGAAGTCT